CACTGGGACATGGGGTCAGCCTTAGGGACCTGTTGCATGGAGCTCAAGGGTCAGAAAGTTCTGGGTTTTCTGACTGCTGGTTCGTTAATGCCCTCGCCCTATCCTATGCCTGTGGAAGAACGAGGACAACTCAGCCCTCAGTGAGCCACTGCGCTGCGTCTGCAGAATGAGACACCTAACCTGCAGGACAGAGCTGACCACGGGGGCTCTGCCTCTGAGGGTCCCTGCCAGCCACTCCCAGAGGACACATGCAACCACCCTCCAGAATCCACTGAGGCAGCCCACGTGCAGTGGCAATGCCCAGACACCCTCCTCTGGCCTCGGTCCCTGAACACTGAGGTCCTCCTGACTGAAGATCCAGGAGGCCCTGACAATCCGAGCCCCTCCTCCACAACCTCCTTGCCACCCCCACCCCCATCCCCTACACCAGACTCACAGAATACTTGGCAGCACGTCCCTGTCGACTCTGCGGCCTCCCACTCCCTGAGAGCCCAGAACCTTCTTTGAAGGCCAGCATCCTGAGTGGGGCCCCCTTACCAGCAGACGAACAGGCAGACGGTCAGGATGCCGCACAGGTGGGTGGCAGCTCCGGTGTGTCACAGTTTCAAACTGAAACAGCAAACACACAAGCGAAGCCCTCTAGGGACTTTTTTTTTTTTTTTTTTTTTTGGTCACAGTGAAATAGATCAGGACACAAAGAAATCTATCTTTCCAGAAGCATCCAAAGCAAAATTAGGACAGATGGTCCAAAAGCCAGGGGTAGACAGACAGACAGACAGCTATCCACTGTAGCTGTGTCCACTACTAATACAAGAGACTGTCCCAGTTGTTTTCTGTGACCTCATGTGCTCATGGAAGCCACATGACATCTTACTCTGGTGGGGAAGCTGAGAGGTGACCTGTGTCTAAAGCCCTGTGTCCTGCTGCTGGGTGGCTCCTCTGTTTGCTGTTGACCTTTAACTGGCGGGCATGCCCTCAGGTGGACGCTTCATTGGGGAGCTGTCAAACTAGACCCTTGAGAGCAATCACCTCACCTGGAGGCAAGTGGCCCCTTGGGGTGCAGTCCAGGGCTGACTCAGCTGAATGGGCCAGGGCACAGAAGGTGGCTGGGGACAGGGCTCCCAGTCCTGTCACTGTCTGTGATGGTGATAAGAGAATCTACTTGCCCCATGGTCTGGGCCTGGTGGGTGAGTGGACAGATTCTTGAGTGGAAGGTCCATGCCACAATGACTCAGCTGACAGCCTGCATACAACCAACTTCTGTGAGAAAGGGATATCTTTTAAACTGACTTTAGCTTTTAGAGAAGCTTTAGAGTGACATAAAAGCCAAGAAGATGGGACAGAGATCTCCAGACACCCTCCAGCCAGGTTCCCCTGCTGTTAAGATCTTACAGAAAGGTGGGGCATTTGTTACAACTAATGAACCAATATTGATACATGACTTTTAACTGAAGTCCACACTTTATTCAGATATCCCTGGTGTCCATATTCTGCCTGTCCAGGGCCCCACTCATGACCCACACAGACCCATCCAGGAGCCCACCCCAGGCCCCAGCCAGAACCCCTCCCAAGACCCCATGCAGGGCTCCACCCAGGACACAGTCAGTCACCATGTCTCCTCAGGCACCTCTTGGCTCTGACAGTTCATCAGACTTTCCTTGAAATATGACCTTGACAATTTCGATAACTGGCCGGGCCTTTTGCACAATGAGTCTGTTTTGGGATCTGTCTGAAATCTTTCTCATGATGACATTAGGGCAGTGGGGTTGGGGAGGGAGACCACACCATACCAAAGGCATGCTGTGCTCATTGCACCATCTTTAGGGCACAGCCGACATTGTGTCTGTGTCCTTTAATTCTAAACACTTATTTCACGGGGTGGCCAATGATTAAGTATTTCAGGTGACAGTCAGTATTGCAATAGAATTCCAGCCAGTTAAGAATTTGAACAATTCTGTTATTTTTCACATGATAACCTACAGCTGTATCTGCTTTTCCTAAGTGAACACACCATTTTTCTAAAGAGATGATGTTTGTTGTTGTTGTTATGTGCCATCAAGTCAGACCCGACTCATAGCAACCCCTCCTTGGGTTTCCAAGGCAGTATCACTACGGAAGTAGATTGCCCAACCTTCCTTCTGAGGAGTGACAGCCTTCTGGTTAGCAGTCAAGTGTCATAGGCACTATGCTACCAGAGCTGATGACACTGACTCAACCTAATCAGTGAACAAGGGTTCCTCCCACACTGTTCCATGGCCCACAATAACTAATGACGAGTCACACAGACGAGTCTCCAGAGCCCCACTGACTGGTTGACCACATTCGTGCTGAGCACCTGCCACACACACAGAACTGTCTGAGGGCTGTAAGGGGGCTGCACACAGTGGACCAGTCTCTTTCCTGAGGTTCAGGATCACAAGGAGCCGGCAGCCCAGGGAACCAAACGGGGTTAAAGTTCTCTGTCTGCTGACCCTGTGCTCCACCCACAGGGAAACAAAGGGCAAAGCAGATTTCTTTCCAGGAGGGAGAGACCTCATGACTAAAAGGCAGGGAAGCAGCCTTGGGAAGCATTGTTTACGAGGGGGTGCAGAAGTCACCCCTTCCCCACTCTGCAGGAAACCTGAAGTGGGGCAGATTCCGTGCACAGCCCCTGGTGCCCTGGAGCAGTGGGCTGGCCTTGGAGAGCATCTGGGAGAGGGGAAGACCCTGCATGGGCCATGGGGGCCAGGGCAGGGGCTGGGATGAAGCTCGCACTCACTGGGGAGACAGAGCAAGAGGCAGTGGGCACTGAGGTATAACTGCTCTGGGGCTGTTGCCCACCCCCACAGCCTTTCGGCCCCCAGCTGCAAGCTTAAGGAGTAATGGCTGAGAAGACAGGGAGAGCTGCAGGGATGACGCGAGGACTGGCTCAGACTCTCTCCACCACAGAAGTAAATGCAGGGCTGTCCCCCACAGGCTTGGCACATGCCCTGGGTGCATTTGTATTAATGATTGCATTTCCAGCTGTGAGAGAGCATTCAGCAACTTGAAATTAATACTTTAATATTTGAAAGTCTGCGTGGGTCAAGACACTGTGTGATCATGCTCCACTAAGTGCTGAGACTTGGAACCCCCGAGACTATGGACCTTAGACCCTTGAGGCCTGGTGCTGAACTCACCCCTGTGGCTTAACTTTCAGCCAAACAATAGACAGGCCTATAAGTTGAATACACAGCATGTACCAGGGAGGTACACACTCCTCAGAACAACTATATGAGATCCGAAGGGCAGCACTGGCCGAGGGAGAAAGCTCAGAAGGCAGGATGGGGAAGAAGGAAGAATGGAAACGGGAAACCCAGGCAGAAAGTGGGAAGAGTGTGGCTATGTTGTGGGGACTGCAGTCAATGTCACCAAACATAATACGTATGAAGCGTTGAATGGAAAACCAATTTGCTCTGTAAACTTTCACCCAGATCACAATAAAAAGTTAAAAAGAAAAAATAAATAAATAAATAACCTTTAAAAAGAAGGGAAGAAAAAGGTGAAGAAACTGAAAAAAGAAACTTTCAGCAGATCACAGATCAAATTTCATCAGTGAAAGTACAGAAGGCGTGGTTGTAACGCTCATGTATTGCTACAACATGTTAAGTAAAAGAGTAATGAGGTGGACTTGCATGTTGAGCTGCTGGTGTGGTAAAGTTATCTAAAAGATGACTGGCAGATGTTTGGACAAGGGCACAATTGCAGTGCTTGCCAGAGGCTCTATTTTCCATAAACAAACCTCTGGGTCCCCCACCTTGCTCCCAGACCAAACAGAAGACATCAGAGAGGCAGCCATGAGGGAGGTTGAGGTTCACAG